TCGCGCGAAGAAAGTTCCTTCCTCGTTCACGGAACGCGAACCGTGTAATCGTAATTAAAATCAAAATAGAACGCGATGAAAAGAATATACGCTTAATTAATACAGCCGAAGCAACAGCATTGTGCGGACGGTTATTACGCACCATCGAGAAGTTTTTTTTTTAATGGCGCTTCGAGCTCCGTGAATAAAACGTTGCTGCATCGAAGAATAAAATGTTAGAATAATACCTGACGGGGACGCATACGCGCGATAACGGTCCGCTCGTGTATGAATTCTTTCCTCGTTAAGTCTACGTGAGACTAACGACGAACCTTGGGGAGAAAGACGGACGTTTGTCAAACGAACGGTATTAAAATGCGGTTAGAAGGCGTTTCCACCGGAGTGCGTTGGCACTGATGTGGGTGGAGAAGTCCCTCGAGTTGCCTCGAGTTGTCGAAACGAGACAAGCGGTGGACCGTGAAGAACGAACGAACGAACGCGAGGATAGAGAAAAATTGATATTTCAATTTCATCACTCTTCACTCTCTTTCGCGTTGTCGGAATTTATATTTTATCGGGACAAACTCGTCTTATAGGAGATAACAGGTTGCACGTTTGAGAATCTGAGATCGTTAAGAAAATACAAATTTGGTGAACTGACGATTAACGGAATAAAAATAGAAGCGCGATAAATAAAAGAAAAATCACCCGTTACGTATGCCGAACCGCGATGAACGGCTGTTTGCGCGAGAGGAAGCGGGCAACTTCCGGAACGCCTGGCGTACGTAATCCTTCGCGGCGGAGAACGCGTGTCGCGAAACGTTGATTACAGAGATCGGTCGGCGCTTCCGCCTACAACGCGCAACAATATCGGACGGATATCGGCGTGACTCGGTCGCGATGAGATATCAAAGCCGAAGAATACAGAATTCTCCCCCGACTTCTTGTGAAAATTTTGCACGTTAATCTCGGATAATCCACGGCGATTTTATCGGTGAAAAAAAAAGCGCGGTTGCAGAGTACAGCCGGGGTTTCCGGAAAGCCCGAGGGCGACGATTTCGCAGCCCGATCCGCACGCATGATCGATCGCGCGAACATATAGTCCAGATAGGGCGAAAATAGACGAGTTTGCCGATGCGCACGAAGATCCCGCAATATCCCGCGCCGTTGGTTTCCGATACCGATGTAAATGATCTGGCGTTACGTAAAGCACGTACCCCACCAATCGATGTTACCGCGTTGAAATATAGCGAGATAACTCGAGCGCGCCGATAGCTCGGTAACAAAATATTGGATTTGCTCTCTGCCCGTTTCATCGCTCGTTCATGAGATTTTAAACCGACTCCGCGCTGCTCGATATTCAAACTGTTTATAGAGCTCTCAATAATGAAAGACGCTTTGAAATAACATGGAGAATATAACGATGAAGATGTGAAAATGTCGACGGCATACTTATTAATAATGTAACCGGAGACATCGTCGTGCATATAAAATTTATGGAAAGGAGTTCTCGATGTTTTAAATATATCACATCTTGTTTACGTAAAATTTATATTCCTCGGTGAAATGTTCACAATTTAATTTCGCCAACAGTCGCCAGCAGACGCAAGAGTATTAAGAATATATATAATTTCTCAATTATTCCTGGCGACCGTCTAATATAACACTCGAACGGTTTAAGGCGCACGAGCGGAGTTGAGAGGAGGTATGTCGTCCGGTCGATTAAAAGACGCGTGATTTATACGGCCCCGCGAGGAATGCTGTAACGTAACGAGCGCGCAGTTAACAGCTCGCGGGTTAAGGATTCAGGCCCGGAACGACGAGATCGGCAACGGGAATTGCCAATTGCATGGTGGGACGATAGGGAGGAATACACCTTACGGTCACCGCACTTCGTTATGTACTAATTCTCGAGATTCCTAGGAAGTATCTTTCTTGCGATTGTCGCCGAAAAGATCTTTCACGTCTCCTGAACGTTTCGGATTTCTCGGCGACGCGCCTCTCTGAACGAGGATGCGAGAGAGACGTGTATGGGATCGGATTCGAGACGCGCTGTCGACAGAACGTGACTCATCGCAAATCCGACAATGAAGCTTCTCAATCCGATAGAAGCGTTCCTGGCTGTCGCGTTGATTCGCGTTAGTCCGAGTATCGGCGATGGCGATGGCGATTTGTCAACGGTGAGTGGATCGTTCGAAGCGTTCGAAAAATAGAAACAGACTCGGCTCCAGTCTCGCGATTGTAAGCTGGATCACGTTTCTGTCACCGATACGGTGTTACTTAATTTAATTGTACCTTACTCGGAATTTTATTCGGTATATACGCTGTACGCTGATCGTAGCTGCGAGCAAGCTCTGCCGTGGGGCTAGAACTAAGCGAACTCAACTTTACTGGTGCATAGACCTCGGTGGATCGCGATAAATGGTCTCCTTAGGCTAAATTGAAACAAGCGATTTTTTTTGCGAGAGGTCCATTGCGAGGGCCTTACATGCGTAGGGGGGTCTCACGCTGGGGCACAATAGGCACTTTTCATCCTGGAACCTCGTTAGTTTTAGAGCCGCCTCTGGTCATGGCTTCTTGTAAGCGATCAGTTAACCGTCACTTTAAGCGACTCCTTCTCAGAATCGATTCTATTAAGTTATTACACTGTTACTATTGCCGTGTGCTGCGCTGCATTATAATTTTATGTAGGCTCACGATGCCAATTTGATTACCTTGCCAAAAATAAAAATGAACTAATAAAAATAGATAATATTAAATCACGATATATGATCGATTTTTAATTTGATAAGTTGATATATCAGAAAATTAATAATTTTATATAACTATGATACCGTTATTACCGCGCTAACGATGCAATTCTGTTAGCTGACTGGATTCATTACTTTATTTTCGAAAATAAGATTCCCTCAACTGTTATAATCGTCGAGGTTTTTGTTAAAATCTTATTCGAGGCAATTCCTGCCTTTAATACGGAATGTTATATGGGGTCGCGCAGACCGTGGCTTTATTCCACCTGTAATAGAATCCGAGACGCGGACTACAACACTCGACTTACGAGCGCATCCGAGACGCGTATTCAGCGCACAGACGTCGCCGCCGTCATTGTCGCTTGCCGGTTGCAATTTCGTGCATGTTCGAAATTGCGCGATCGTACGGCGCGAGTAGAGTACGGGGAAAAATACGATTGAATTCTGGGATGCTGCGGCCTCGCCGCGCGCTGCACCGCGCCGCGCCGGCAACATGATGTCATTAAACGATCCCTGGCGGGCGGCCGTTCCCGTAAGCGAGACGAAATGAAAAAGGCAAATGGATACACCGTGCGCCCATTATTACTATTGGCATACGGGATATAGCCTCGGTGCTGCGCACCATGGTCAAGGGTAATAGTTATTTCCCGCGCCACGCTCATGGCTCTCTCGTTCTCCAGCGAGCCATGAGATAAATCGGCCACGGTCTCGCATAATCGCGGCGAATCTCCCCGAGCCGAGGACGCGATCGATCTCTCTCTCTATCTCTCTCTCTTGGATTCGGATTAAGCCGCCCGATGGGCTGCGGCAGGTGCGGCTCATTTGAATATTATGTGGAACAAATGACCGACTTCTGATCCGTGAACGGTGCTCCTCTTAGCGAACCTCCGCGCGCTCCGCCACGAGGAGTAACGTTCCGCGTCGATGCTCTGAATATATAGACTGCAAAATGATTCATATGTGAAGTTAATGTTCGTACTTGCAGGCGTTTCGTAGAAACTTTATATCAAGTCAAGATTATTTTACGTTAAGATTAACTTAATCAACTTGCGAAAAGTGTTAAAGAAATATTGTATATAAACGTGATACTGCGGCTAATATAGAAATATTTTGTAGCTCATTTCGTTTTTTACTTCTTTATGTACGAAACATTTTTAACGAAATTTTGAAATACAACGATTCTGTCCCACGTCTCTCAACGAGCTTCAAAGGAGAATAGTGAATAATGCGGGATTTTATTAAAAATTTATGAGATGTTCTGCATGCCGCGGGAGGCAATGCATGCATTTTTGCAGTTAACCGTGTCGGAATTTGTAGTATGTTGCAATAATATGTATATGTATATATATTTTTTTATGTGGTACTTTCAGAAGCTCTCTTACGCAGCAAGCTTCCTGGCATGATGAAAATTACAATAACGGGTTATCTTTATTTAGAGCGCTTCGTAAGTGGTCCAGGCCCGTTATTGTATAAATAGGGTCACTGAAGAGTACGGAAGACGAAAAGAAAGAGACGAAACTTTTCCCGGGGCGACGGTAGAACCGGTAGAACCGTATCGTGATGTGTGTGAAGACAAGAAATAAAAAACGGCTGTTTGTTCCTTTCATGCACGTAGCGACTATTGAAAATGTCAATATATGATCGTGACGCGTCAAAATCGCAAGATTAATAGCGCGTCAGTTTTCGTTCGTCATTCAACTTTTTATTTATGAGCAAAAATGGATGAAGGAATTTTTTAATATCTATATTTTCTCATGCTTTTTTTTTAATCGATAGAATCGGGAGAGAGAGAGAGAGAGAGAGAGAGAGAGAGAGAGAGAGAGAGAGAGAGAGA